GAGGCCAGCATTTACTCTGATACCAAAAGCTAGACAAGGACACCACAAGAAAAGAAAACTGTAGGTTCATTTGTGATGAACATTAGATACAAAATGCTCAACAAAATACCAACAAACCAAATTTAACAGTACATTAAAATGAACATACCTTATGACAAAGTGATATCACAGGGATGCAAGGATATACAAAAATTAATCAATGTGATACACCACATTAACAAAATGAAGAATAAAAATGACAAGATCATCTCAATAGATACAGAAAAAGCATTTGACAAAATTAAAAACATTTTTATGATATAAAATTTCAATAAATTAAGAGTAGAAGGAAATTACCTCAATATAATAATGGCCATATGTGAGAAGCTCACAGCCAATGTCTCACTGAACAGAGAAAAACTTAAAGCTTTTCCTCTAACATCAAGAACAAGTTAAGGATACCCACTATCACCACATCTATTGAACCTAGTACTGGAAGTTCTATCCAGAGCAATTGGGCAACAAAAAGAAATAAAAGACATGTAATTCAGAAAGGGAGAAGTAAAATTGTTCCCGTTTGCAGATGGCATTATCTTATATAAGGTAAGAAAACCCTAAAGATGCCAGAAAGGTTGCTATAAGTAATAAATGAAATTAGTCAACTTGCAGGCTACAAAATCAACATGCAATAATCGGTTGCATTTCTATACACTAACAGCAAGCTATCTGAAAAGAAAATTGAGGAAACAATTCCATATACAATAGGATCCAAAAAAATAAAATACTTAGGAATAAACTTAACTAAGAAGGTGAAAGACTTGTGTACCGATATCAAGATATTGATAAAAGAAATTAACACACAAACAAATGGAAAGACAACTGTATTCATGGATTGAAAGAATTAATATTGTTAAAATGTCCATACTACCTAAAGTTATTTACAAATTCAGTGAAATCCCTATCAGAATTCCAATGGCATTTTTCACATAAATACAAAAAAATAAAATCTAAAATTCATATGGAACCACAAAGGACCCCAAATACCCAAAACATCTTGAAAAAGAACAAAGTTGGAGACATCACACTTGTGGATTTCAAAATATATTGCAAAGCTACTGTAACTAAAACAATATGGTACTGGTATAAAGAGGAGAAAGACCAGTGGAACAGAATAGAGAGCCGAGAAATCAACCCATACATATATGGTCAGCCGATCTTTGAAAAGGGTGCCAAGAATACACAATGGGGAAAGGGTAGTGTCTTCAACAAATGGTGTTGGGAAAACTGGATATCCACATGCAAATGAAATTGGACTCTTACCTAAACGATACACAAAAATCAACTCAAAATGGATTAAAGATTTAAATGTAAGACCTGAAACTGTAAAACTCCTGGAAGAAAACATAGGGGAAAAGCTTCAAGACATTGGCCTTGGCAATGATTTTTTGGATTGACTCCAAAAGTACAGGCAACAAAAGCAAAAAATAAAGAAGTGGGACTACATCAACCTGAAAAGCTTCTGCACAGCAAGAGAAACTTTCAACAGAGTGAAAGGACAACCTACAGAATGGGAGTAAATATTTGTAAACCGTATATCAGGTAAATGGTTAATTGCCAAAATATATAAGGAACTTGTACCGTCAATACCAAAAAAAACTAATAACCTGATTCTAAAATGGGCTAAAGAGTTGAATAGACATTTCTCCCCAAATGCCATACTAATGGCCATCAGGTGTATGAAAAGATGGCCAATGTCACTAATCATCAGGGAAATGCAAATCAAAACCACAACAAGGTGTCACCTGTTAGAAAAGCTATTATCAAAAGAACAAAAGTCAACAAGTGTGGGCAAAGGTGTGGAGAAAGTTGAAAAATTTTACACTGTTGGTGGGAATGCAAAATATTGCATTCACTGTGAAAAACTGTTGGAGATTCCTCTAAAAATTAAAAATAGAATTACTGTATAATCCAGTAATCCCACTTCTGGATATTTTCCCAAAAGGATTAAAATCAGGATCTCAAAGCAGTATTAGTATTCCCAAGTTCATTGCAGCACTATTTACAATAGCCAAAATATCGATACAAACTAAATGTCCATCAACGGATGAATGGATAAAGAAATGTCATATATACATAGAATGAAATGTTGTTCAGCCATGAAAAAGAAGGAAATCCTGCATATGTGACAACATAGATGAACCTTGAGGACATTGTTCTAAGTGAAATAAGCCAGTCACAGAAGGACAGATAACTGTGTGATTCCACTTATATGAGGTATCTAAAACAGTGAAACTCACAGAAGCAGAGAGTAGAATGGTGGTTGCCACTGACCGATGGGAGGGGAAATTGGGGTGTTGTTAATCAATGAGAATAAAGTCTTAATTATGCAAGATGAATAAGTTCTAGAGATCTGCTATGTACGATGTTGTCTCTATTGTTAACAATACTGTATTGTATTCTTAAAAATTTGTTAAGAGAGTAGATATCGTTTAAGTGTTCTTACCACAACACAAAATTTTTAAAAATTTAAGAAGTTTTGCTTCTCAAAAGACACCCTTATCAAAGGGAAAAGGGAACAACAATGTGGGAGAAGATTTTTGTAATACGTATTTCCAATAAAGGCACATTCAGAATCCCTACAAATCAATAATAACAAAAGGTGAGAGAACATAATAGGCAAAATATTTGAAGAGACACTTCACAAAAGATGATATCGAAGGGGCTCAAAACAGGAAAAATTGCTTAACGTAATTACTCATCAGAAAAAGGCAAATTAAAATAAAAACGAGACTTCCCTACACCCCTATAAGAGTGGCTAAAGTTAAAAGAACTGACAACATCAAGGGATGGTGAGCATATCAAGCAACTAGGACTCGCTCACCTGGCAGGTGAGAGTATATATTGGTACAGCATATTTTTGTTACTGTTCAGCAGTTTAACATCTTCTAAAGCTATTAGGTTTCAATTACATTTATAGCTTTTATTTTCATTTTTAAAACTATCATACTTATATTTAAATTTTATATACTTTATAGTATAATTAACTCGGCATTTATGTCCTAGAATTTTGACAAAGGAAATTTCCCATTAATTTTGAGTCTAATTATCTAAAATATTTTTCTTTGTTTTTCCATTTAACTTGAAGCTGATTGTCTTTACTTCTCCTTTTTTTGTACCTTTAACTTTAAATCTTATTCTCTTCTTTTCCAACATCAATACTTTACATATATGTAGGTTTCTATATATTTAACATAAACTTAATCAAAATATTTTTTGGATACATGGGTAGGGAGAATTGAGAAAAATATTCTGAAATTTATATGAAAGGAAAATAGGGGTATGCAGTAAACTTTAGTATTAACTAACAATGAATTAACACACAGACATTTTTATTTTCAAAAAGCATCTTTCTGATTTTTAATGTATTATCAAATATTTCTTAAAATATCTAAGATATCTTGGTAGATATATGAATTAAGGATAAATTCTCATAATCATAATGCCCAAAGAAAATTTCTGTTAACAATATAGATGCATATCTTAAATGTTTTTCAAAGCAAAACATAAAAATACTTATACTTTTTTTTTTTTTACTTAGAGACTATTATGAACAACTTTTCATATCTTAAGCTATAGGCCTATATCATCATTTTGTGACATATAGTATTCAATTTAAAAATGAAAAATAATTTATTTAAAAAATTCATTATTATGAATATTTAGATTACTTCCAGTTTTTCATTCTTGCAAACACCCTGTAATAAACTTCCTTACATGGACATACATTTTGGAGCATTGTCCAATTATAGCCTCAGAATAAATCCCTAGAAAAGAGATTGATCAAAGCGTAAATATAATATATTACACTCTTGTTATGTTTTGATAGCTATTGCCAAATTACCTGGTTGTAATGATCGCCAGTAATCCATTTGCATTAAGTTGTAACTTTCATAAGTTATTTATTTTTTGTCAATTGGACATGTGAGTGTATACTTTCTGAGCCATGGCATATCTTAAATTTTACTTTCTTTTACCATCCTATTGAATTTTCTTTGTTATTTTCTACTCTGTCATTTGGTAATAAGCTATTTCCATGAGTATGGCATAGAATTAGAAAATCCATGATATAATCATATGGGATTAGAGACATTTTTGAGACTTCCTTTAGTTTGAGGGATGCTGAGTATATTTTTACCTTCTTCCATCTCTCACTCCACCAGTTTTTCTGTTATGTACATTGGGATTTTAGATCTAGCCTACTGTTAAATTCCTATTCTTTAAACATTATTTACCTTGGTTCCAAAAATATTTTGTCATTTTCAGTTTTGTCCTTAAGTTTACAACAAACATTTTTACTTTATTTTATGCTTAACTGGTTTCACTTTTCATAATTCGGAAGGATGATTTTAGATTTTAATGACATTAAGATCCTTTTCCAACCAGAGATGTTGGAATGCCCAGATCTCACCTTAACTCTTTTTTCTTGACTCTCCTCTCTTAGTTCATTCGATAAATTATATGTGGATGTGAGTGTGTGAATCATTCTGCTTCTTATAACAGTAGTAACAAGTAATAAACATTCATTTAAAAATATAGGTATGCAAAAGAATGAAATAATTACCATCATTAATCTTAGCACCAAAGATGATTGTTAAAATATTTCAATATATAGATGTACATGTGTATGTGTGTGTGTGTGTGTGCGCATGCATGTATGTATGTTTTTGTCTTTTATAAAATGTGATTGCACTTAGAATTATCATAATTTTTTCTTTTAAATTAAAATCAGTTTATATACTTAGAATAGTCAACACTTAGGGTATTTTAGAAAGCCACTTCTATCACAAAACTAAGAGTATTTGCCCATAATTGTTTTTTCTGGAATTAATTTTCATTTTCTTGATCCTTTCCCTTTGGTTACTCATGCCTTTTAAATTACTTGTGTTAGAAATATGTTAGCTCAAAGGAAAAAAAAGCAACACTGGCATTTTGTTTGTATAATGTTTTGTTTTCTCTTACAGTAACAGTCTCTGACAACCTTGGCCTGGAGAGAGGATAGTACCAAATAAATCCAGAAACTGGCCTATATCAAGAAGGAAAACAAGTAATTTCTCCCTTACCTCTATTGTCACTGCTGAGGGTTTAAATTATGAAATAATAAATCATCTGCACCTGAATCACCTGAATTATGTCCAGTGTTTACTTTGTATTTTCACTCCCAACTTCCACCCTATCTGCTCCAACTTGGCTCCAGAAGAGGCTGTGAATCAGGTGAAAGCAGCTTAAAACCCTCATCCCATGAAGCCAAGAGTGCCTGGCAGTTCAGCCTCGTGACCCAAGGGTAGAGAATATCCCTTTTCCCTTCTGCTCTTTAGGTTGACCTGGATCTCCCTCCCTCAGTCTGACCTCCTTCCTTCTCTTCAGAGCTCTTAGCCTTCAGTTAGCCTGTGACTTGTCCCAGTGGCGTTTACTCAGATAGGATCTGAATCCAATCTGTCTCTTGTTACTGCTTCTCCTCTTTGAAAGCTGTATACCTGCTTTAGTGTATTGAGATACCTGTTTACCAAGAGTAGATTTATCATGAAGCTAAGGAAGCAAAAGCATCAAGGCTACTTACTTGCATAGGCTCTTTTCAGTCATGGACCTAATTTTGTATTCTTTTTCTCAGAGAGAGTTCATCAAATTTTATATAATTCAGGCCCCACTGAACCTGGATCTGCCTGTTCAACAACTCTCTTGGCATTGGTCTGCTGGATCCAGTTAATATCAGCTCACAAGAGCTGATCATTAAAATTTCACAAATTTGCTCTTATCAAAAAAAGAAAAAGAAAAAGAAAAAGAAAGACAACAAGTGTTGGCAAGGATGTGGAGAAATTAGAACCGTTGCAAACTGTTGGTGGGAATGCAAAATGATGCAGCTGTTATGGAAAAATAGTATGGCAGTTCCTCAGAGTTAAAAGAACTACCATGTGATCCAGCAATCCCACTTCTGAGTGTTTATTCAAAAGTATTGAAATCAGGATCTCAAAGAGACGTTGGCACTCCTATGTTTATTGTAGCATTATTCACAATAGTCAAGATGTGGAAACAACCTAAATGTCCATAAACAGACGAGTGGATAAAGAAAATGCGGTATATGCCTTCAATGGAATATAATTCAGCCTTATAAAAGAAGGAAATTCTGCAATATGTGACAATATGAATGAACTTTGAGGACATTATACTAAGTGAAATAAGCCAGTCACAGAAAGACAAATACTTCATGATTCCACTTGTATCAGGTACCTAAACTGGTCAAATTCATAAATCAAAGAGTAGAATGGTGGTTGCCAGGGGCTGAGAGGAAGAGGGAAATGGGGAGTTACTAGTCAGTGGGCGTAAGGTTTCAGTTAAGCAGGATAAATAAGCTCTAGAGATCTGCTGTACAACATTGTACCTGTAGTCAACAATAATGTATTGTACATTAACAATTTGTTAAGAGGGTAGATCTCATGTTAAGAGTTTTTACCACAATAAAATAAAATAAAAATTTCAGAAGTTTTGCAAGTCAGCTGTTAAACAACCATTATTAAAAACATTATATAAATTTAAGTAAATTAAAAACTGACACAAAACTTACAATCTCAATTATTTTATTACATTTACACTTATCTTTGCTCTTGAGGTTATGGCTGCTGTATCTTTATGGTGGAATTACTATATTATGGTGTGCTACTCACATCTCTTCCCAACACTGCCTCTAAAAACATCAAGTGGTACCTAGAAATTGGCCTTTACTGAAACTGATAAACCTATAAATCTGGGCTTTATTTTTTTCCAGAGAGACAGCTTTGTAACATTTACGAGCACACCACTGCCCTTGGAGGTTTTTCAAATTCCTTCTATTTTTCTTTCCAATACCTTGTGGGAGATGCTTTTCTATCATAGCTCTAATCTATCCACAACTCATCCCAGACAAGAATACCTGATATCTGGGGTCCCTAGGAAGTTTGACATGGGTTGGGAGAGCCTATGAGCCACATGTGTAGCAGGCAAAGAAGGTATATTTCAGATCTGCTTTCTGTTACGGATAGTGGAGAAGCTGCTAGAAGGTACTATGTTGCACCACCAAAAATGACAAGGGCACTGAGTCTGTTGTCCAAGGATAACTTTACCCTGCCTTTAAGGCTGTTCAAATACTGATGAGCTGGGAGATCTGAGGAGAGGAACGTCATGTGGGGCAATACATTTACCAGTCATTGTGAACACCAAACTTATGAAAGCCTAAGATAAGCAAAATGTTCAAAGTGGCTCTGGGCCAGGGTGAGTTTGGGAATTCTCATAAAGTAGCATTTCTACTTTCCCTGATGCTTACCCTGAAACTGTAGAAAGAAATGAAGGAACAAAGAAAGATTCAAAGATGGAGTAGAAATGCCTCGCAGGAAAATAATTTTGCTTTTAGATTTGAAAAGGGAGATGGATGCTGCAAATACGAGGGTGCTGCTGAAATAAAATCTTTTGCTTCCTGGAAGAAAGCTTCTCTATTACTCATAATTCCATACAAGTTGTGTAAAAGGCCAGTGAAAATTTGGAAATCGTGTAGTCATGTAATACTTTGAGGATTTTTATTCCTAATTAGGAAACACAGGGCTTAGTAATTCTGTATTTATCAGTCAAAATCTGTGCTATTATGCAGATGTACTCTGGTATGAAACCTTTATTTAATAATAGGTGTAAGTTCTCAGAAATCAAGATGTAAAACCATTTCCTCATTGCTTACTGCAGATAGGTTTTGATCCCTGATATTTTTCTGAAATTATTCTGGCAAAATCATCACTTACTCTACAGTGTTAAATTCTACGAATTCCTTTCAGTCCTCATCTTTTTTGTTGTTTCTTTTTTTTTTTTTTTTGCCTTTTTAATTCATGTATTATTATTCCTCCTTTGAAACTTGCTACTTCTATCATTTCTGAAACATTTCCATCTCTTCTGATGCCTAATTGTGTATCTGTCTCTGAGAATTTTTTCTCAATTTGCTTTATTACCATCCATTTATTTGTCCTTAAATGTTGGTGTTACTAACCCTTGACTTGCGTCTCTTTTCATTGCATACCGGCAGTTCATAACTAACTTTTCATTGTGCCTCAATGAAATTACCATTTTCATTGTGCCTACCTGGGGAGATTTTCCAAAATACTCATTCTGAAACACCCACCCCAGAAATTTGGATTCACTGGGACGTTTCTCTGATAATGCTGGTTATTCTCCTGATATAAAATACTCTGTATTGCTACTAACTCAAATGTACGTATATACAGATCAATGTTTTATCTGAGTTCATATGCCTACCTACATTCCTAGTAGGCTCATGATGAACTAGACACAGATTACCAAAATAATTCTTGTTGGTGGTTGTACCTTCCCCTGAGTGTGTTATGCAAGTCATTTTTTGAATTCCTGGGAAAAGGAAGAACCCTACTGAAGCAGGTGGAGCTCAGGTCATGCAAGGTGCTCACGTGTGGACCACTGAAGGAAAACATGCAGAGCTTGCCTGCCTCTCCAGAATTACCATTAGAAACCAGG